GCTTCCAGGCTGGACCCTTCTCATTTTGTGCTTTTTAGAGCACGACCACCAATATGCCGGCGCCAATCGCTCTCAAACCGGTCACCACATCGACTGCCAACAATGATGTCTCTCCCGGAAGTTCTCCACCTCATCTCGTAGCCGAAGCACCGGTAGCAGCTGTAGAACCACCAGCTAGTGCTTCAGCATCACCTGCTTCCACTTCGACGTTGTCTTTTGAGGAATCGTTGGCTCGTTTTCGCACTAGCGCCCAAGACTCGGAAATTATGTCTCGTATCGCTCAGCTGAATTCACTTTCATCGTTCTGGGGTACCCCAACTATGACAGAATTCAGGTGATTATTAGTGTTGACCCTTCTTTAATTAACAAATAATTCTTACGTGTAAGCCTATACATCCCTATCATAACTATTATTTCTATTGATCGACTTATTATTGAACTATCACATGTGGACCTCTCTATCCACAAATCTCATTCAACACTCCTTTCTTCAACTAAAATGCTCATATTTTTGTTTGTATCATAATTAAGCTTTGTTGCTGAAACACGGATTTTGATTGTACGGTTTCATGATATTACATCTCATACCTGCTCCTTGTAGACGGGCATCCACCGAATAATTTCCAGCTCAATCGTTTTTTACAGTTTTCACTTTCATGCATAGGATACGGGAAAATTTGTTTGTATGACAATGCATTAATAAACGTCAATGTACTTCTCGTCTTGCGTCAGTCAGATAGAATAAAAGGAGTGATAAAGGAACAAAGGACAAATTAACGTAACAAGAGCTTCTAAAATTCTATTACTGCTTTGAACACTCATGATTTTCTTTATGCAGTTTCACGGGGGATATCGTGATTTTGTTTTTCGATCGTCGTTCGCAAATATGTAGTAAACTTTTTGAGGTAATGATAGAAATACATGCAAACTTTGTCTGACGTCACGTCTTCTGAAACGACGTCGAAGAAAAAAAAAGAATCTACTCGTTCCATGGTACATTAGTAAACCTATTTATACGAACATCACATTCGGGATTGAAGATTGCGCTTGATAGAATGTATTTACCTTTTAGTCTTAAACTACACAATTTTACTTCGCATGATGGAAACAACGTGTAAGTTTGGCTAAAAAATGACTTGGTTCATGCAAATTTCTATGAAAACTTCTGTTATTGTTTTATCCATGTTTTGATGGTAGTTCAGAGCTTCTACTACCACATATCAACTACTCAGAATTTTAACAATACTAGGAAGTGTTATGGCGCGATATAACTAGATTTTTAATTTCAAACTCAGTTCTTTGAATTTGGAGATTTTGTTTTCATGCTATAATGAATGTATTGCTGAGTAGGTATTTCGACACATACAAGTTTTTTTGTCAAGTAACAACAAAAAATGTGATCTGCCATTTTGGAAGTCGTTGATCGACAAACTTCTCTCACTTTTGCATACTGGGGAAAATGGGTTTCAATCTGCGCTTTTTGCTTCACAAGGAAATAAATTCTATCCAAACTGTATCCACCTTCTAATGTCTATAATAGCTCTTACCAGAGGTAGCAAACACTTAGGCAGCCATACTTTATTGAGAATTTCACCAATAATCCAGGCTAAGATTATAGGATGAAACAGTCGTGTTGTCACCGCCATCTCCAGTTTCGTTTACGTACTTCAGTCGCAAACAATACTTCATAGGACCACATTTGAGCTCTGCTGTCTTCAAATGGTATGCCCGTGCTCTGTCGACAGTAAGAAACTGTCGGAACTGTAGAGAAAATTTTTCGAAGTCGTTCAGAGCTGAGTTTCAGAAATACCTGTTCACAGTTTCCTTTTCGCATCGCAAATGTTGCTTTTCCAGCTGCGGCATTTACGTTATGGAAAAAGTTCTTCTTAGTGTAGCGAAATTTATAAACATTGCTAAAGTCTCTGAACTGCAATAAAAAAAATTATTGAGGAAGTTGTCCAATTTAACGTTCCATTTTATACTTGCCAGAGCGCGGAAATCTTTCAGTACATGATCGGCCACCTTCGGATCTCTGATGCTTTGACCGTTATCAGGAAGCTCGCTGACAAGCGACACTTCTA